TATGTAATACCTTAATCAATAAAGAAAAAGAAAGGCGGCAGTCCTCAGCTGCCTGGAAGACCAGCTCTCCGGAAGCCCTGCTCTCCTAAGTGCTGGGTAACAGAAGAGCATGCGTGTCTCGTGGCCGCGGTCCCCCATGCACCGTGCCAAACACCAGTCTCTGCAGGAAGCACAGTTCCATTTGCCCGGCTATTGCATTAGCTAATTTTATAAAAACTTTGTGACTATGACTAAATTTCCCCAATACATAAAACATTATTTTTTCCAGAGTAACTAATGGGTTTTAACATGGTTAAAGAGAAGAGAAAGGGCAAGGAATGAACAAATTATGAGAAAACAAATTACAAAAAAAGGAATATATTGGCATAAACCAAATATGTCAGATTCTTCATTTATCCGCTAAGCCTAAAAATAAGTGGTTGTAAAACAAGTGATATTAATGAAAATGCTGTCTTCATGGAGAACCTAGGAAACCATATGTTCCCCTGACTTTGGCACTGAGAAGTGTATCAACATAACATGTTGAATTTCTCTGTCTGAATTCAAACCACCTACTCACGTACTGACATTTATCAACTTGAAATTAATAACACCCTAAGCTAAAGATGTGCCCAAAGTTTTTAAAAAAATAATTTCTATAAAAATGTGGGAGAATTCTCAATGAAGCCAGAATACAAATGAGCAACAGAAAGGCAAAAAAAAAAAAAATCAGAAATTGAGCCTGGTTCCCACTTTCTCCCCCAAACCCATACATGTCACCCAAAAGAAATGAAGTTTCCAGATTCAGAGTCCTGTCCATAAAAGAGAGAAACCGTTGGCCAGACTGGAATGTTCTAGTTGGTTGAGCGTTGTCCCATGCACCCAGAGGTTGCTGGTTTGATTCCCTGCCTCTGTCTAGTTAGTTACATTGTCACCAAGAACATTGAGATCTCTTTGTTTTTGAGGAAAAAGTAATGAAACAGCAAAGGCAGAGAAAAAGACCATCTTTTCACATGTGCGGTGTCACAGGATTATGAGAGGGAAGGCTGGCATTGCCCATCTTTTTGAAATGTCAGTGTGTAACAATTTCCTAGATACGTTAAAAAGTCTAGGTTTTCATGTAAACAGAAACGTGATGCTGAATATATTCTGCAACGCGCTGCAGACTGACCTCAGCTCTGAGATACCGGATTCCTGATGGAGCAAGAGGTGCCGTCCTGGCCCCGGGCCTGCTGCAGGGCCGAGGCTATATACCACGCCTCCTCCGGATCCTGGCCGAGGTGGGCTTGCAGGAAAGGCGCTTCGCCCGTCCACAGCACCTCTCATGTGCACAGGTGGAAGAGCTTTATCAAATGCACCTGGTTCATCAAGCTTCACAAACTCAGAAGGGCGTACACACTTACAGCCCCACCTGAGGCTCACCACGGGCGGCCAGCAGGCAGGCGTGCGGCTCAATAGAACCCAGGTTTTAACTGTCCAGGTTTTAGACCAGGGGTCCTCAAACTACGGCCCGCGGGCCACATGCAAATACAAATATTGTACTTGTTCCCGTTTTGTTTTTTTACTTCAAAATAAGATATGTGCAGTGTATATAGGAATTTGTTCACAGTTTTTTTTTAAACTATAGTCCGGCCCTCCAACGGTCTGAGGGACAGTGAACTGGCCCCCTGTTTAAAAAGTTTGAGGACCCCTGTTTTAGACCCTCAAGTACCTACAGAAAGACAGGGGTCAGTGACGAATCTCTGAGTCACCGGCAAAGTCCAAGACTCGTGAGTTGGGTTAAGAATGCTCACGGCCAAAGACGATCTCCTTGCCAACCCTCAAGAACTCTGGCTGCTTCTACCTGTGCAAAGAGAGGGTTTGGGTCCCATCGGGAGAGGATGCCCCACCGCCATGCTGTGGTGGGAAGTGCAGAATCCCCAGCAGAAGCCTCTGTGTGGCATGTCCAATGAGATCTGTAGAATTCACAGTAAGAAGTAGTGTAGACATTTTAAAGTAAAACTCCCTCAGGAAGCCAGCACTCTCAGTGCATGACCAGTTTCTGAGGATCCGAAGCACTTTGGAATGATTGGAACCTCGGTCAAGCTCATATTGAGATAGAAACATCGTTCTCGGAGTAACTCTGCTCGCTGGGGAGGCCTGTTGCTATGAAGAAGGATAAGTCTCTGAATAAAGTAGAGAGTTTTCCAACAGAAGCCGCACTGCCAAAAACACTGAGCAGAGACACAGATGGGATGCGTCTGAAGAGTTGGTTCCTGAACATGGGTTTTCCCTCAATGAACACAACACGAAGGGACAGGGTCGCGGAGAGATGGCAAGTGTCAGCCTCACGCCATATGAACTTATACCGGACTTGCTCACGCAGCTGAGCAACCGTGTACGAACCGCCCCACTTCTCTCGGCCTCAGTTCCCTCCTCTGTAAATGAGAATAATGATGCCTGCTTTCATGGGTTGTTGAAAATGCTACATGAGAGAAACGTCTGTAAAATGCCTATCGGATTTCTAATAAATCCTAAGATGTACTTTTTTGTCATTCCTTCCATATCTCTCATGAATCCTACACCGAGCCCTCGCAGGGCCTGGAAAGAGCACTGCTCTGGGGTGATACTGGACATCCCGCCTTCCCAGGTGCAGAGCCTGGCCATGAACGAGCACTGTGTCTGAGGATGGAGAGGAAATGGCTCATATGGGAAGCAGGGTGAAGGCCAACTGGTCCCCACCCATTCCTGTCCCTACTCCCAGGACAGTAGTAAGAAGTCACACTCCTCATAATTGTGAGCAGTTTTTCTTCAATGGGTAGAAGCTCCAGGAAGCAAACTGAGCCCAATGAAAGACCATGGGAATGACGCCAGCTGTCTGCCAACAGCACAGGTGCTTCAGTAACAAGCAGGCCTTCAGTGCTGGGGGTGGGATTGCCCCACCACTTGAGGTACTCAAGCAAATGGCGGATATCATACATCTTTAAACTATGAAACATACTGTGCTTTCACATGCACTGCCTTCTTAAATCCTCAAGATAAATCTATGCGTTTGATATTCACATGCCGATTTCACAGATTAGGCCAACAGTGGTCAAGTAATTGACCACAAAGTGGTGGATGAACAGCTTTGGGGGATATTACAGAATGATGTCATAGGTAATACTTAACATGAATCAGTCATAACAACTCTATATGTGACTGGCACAATGCAGGAATATTCTAGAATGTAGACTAAATGGCTATATGGCAAGATGATAACCAGGAGAGCCCACTGAATCCCAGAATCCTGCCACTGAAATTTCTAGAATTATAATCTCTCAAATAGACCGAGTCTGATTTTAAAACTCCTATGAAAGAGATAGTACAAATAATGCTTTTTTTAGTTTTACTTATATTGATGCAACAGAAAAGCTAGAATATCAGTTAAAATCATCTTTTCTAGGCTGATTTATTGATACTTACTATGTGCCCAGCAAAATGCTAAGTACATAATATAAATCTGTCATTTAGAGTTCTCATAACAACCCTATAGGGCTAATACTGCTATCTTGTTATCTTGCATATGAAGAAATAGAGGTAGAGAGAATTGAAATAGTTTTCTAAAAGTTACGCAATTAGTAAGAGTAGAGCTGAGACTCAAAACCAGATGTATTTAACGCCAAAATGTGTAATCTCAATCACTACATGAGGTGGTAGGGTCGGGCAAAAGTAGGCCTACCATTGTCCATATGAAAATAATACAATAATAAATAATACAAGAATAAACTCTATTTTGCATGCTCGCAACTGTAAGCCTACTTTGCCCCACCATTTATAGTAATATAACTCATTTTAATATAAAGTTTAGAATTATAATAATGATAAAAGTCTCAACTGAGAACATGAATATGTGAATAAACACTTAGCAAAGAATTATTAGCAAATCCAAAGTTAGTTTTTTCACATATAAATTTTATCTGAAGCCAATACTATTTTTTATTTAACTACAGGCTTCATCTTTTGCATTGTTTAAAATTATTAACACATGCCATATTAATAACAGGTATATTAAATTTATAATAATGCCATTCTGAAATACTTTTCAATATTGAAGCCTGGAATAGAAAAACATTTATTTTTATTTTTCTATTTTCATTGGCTCACAGGAAAAACAAGATTGGATTAACAATTTAATCTTCCCAACCCAATCTCAATTAGAAATATGAAGCACGCCATCATTGTAAAAATAATTTAAAAGTAAGAATACAGCACACTTATATGTGCAGTACTTACATTATGGGTAATATTTAAATTCTATGCTATAATTTAATTTTGTATTATGGATAATTAAGGAAGAGGGCTAGAGAGAAAAATAAAACAAAGACATACCAGACACAAGAAGGGGAGACAGACAGATGTAGATAAAGCGAGGAGAAACTGAGCGAAACCCCAGGGAGCCATGAACAAAACATACTCACACCCACACCCCCTGGACGTCCTCCCTGAGGAAAGAGACACAGGAGTGGACACGTGACGGCACGTAGTGAATGATTCACGAATGAGGAAGTGAGCCGGGGATATGGACTTCCATTATGTCCTGTTCCCACGTCATGGACTTCCCATCGGCCCCATGATGTTGTGCTCTCGCCACCCCCAGCGCAACATGCTGCCACTTCGCAGCTGGGCCACAGGGATCCCAAGACAAGTTGATGCTCATGAAGAATGAACACAATCAGTCCTTAGCATAACCAACCAGGAACATTGACAAAAGTATTGTCAGTGATCACTTAGGACCCAGTACTTGACCAACCAGCCTTCAGAGAGGATGCCATACAGAATTGTAACCCATCCATTTACAACTGTCCGGTTTCCACCACAGAACATCTGGGCTGTTAGGTCTCCATGGTGCTCACGAACCTTCAATGTCAAGTTTAAATTCTTATCGGAAAGACACAAAAGCCCTGTCTTCGTGAACTTCAAAACCCACCCATTCCGCTTGCACAGCAGGCTTACGGAGCCACATGCGTTGGCTGGGTGCCCGGCCCCACGCTGCGCAGTACCTGCTGCTTCTCCAGGCGCATCCTCTTGGCAGCATTTCTGCTCTCGCTCTCACAGGCCGAGGCCAGGATGCTCTCTGCAACTGCTGAGGTAAGGTGGGAAGGGATAGGTCGCGACTACAAAAGAAGAGAGAAAGAGAGAACGTGAACAAATTATTAACAGTATCACCCAGAGCCCACGCTCAGCTCAGGAGAGCTCACGGGACCTGCAGGAGCATCCACTTATTCCAACTTATTTAAATAAAAGAGGAAATGGAAATCGCAAAGATGGAAAATGAACGCTAGTTAGAGGTAAGGCTCTGGGTGCGACACAGATCCATCATTCATTCCCAGAACTCCACTGTGGCGAGGACTTAGTCTAGCCTAGGCCATGAAGCTGGAGTTTGAGAGGCAGTGAAGAGAGTGCTGACCGGGCTTAGCAAATAAGACAAGTCCTTCAGTTCTTTCATGACATATGACACAGCCAAACAAAAACAAGTGACAGGGCTGGAACAGAGCTGGAAAAACCTGACAGACACTCAGACCATGTCAGACAACATCCACATGAAATATTTATGAAGACTGACAGCCTAAGTTGGGACCAGTGATATGATTAAATCCTTTAAAAAGTTCAGTTTAAATGCAAACTAAAAAGCAGTACTAAACAATTCTGATACAACAAAAATGTGATGTTTTAGATGTGAGATGTATTCGTGCCTACGTGTTCTATTTCTAAAATGTGAGTTAATATCAATTTAACAGGCACACCCATCGTCTATGTAGCCCACATAGAAATTAACCCCCCAAACCAAGCGCCTAATTAATTACCAGTTGTTTTCAACTCTATCATTTGTGATAATCAAGGAAGTTTTTCATCTCTTTTCCGATAATTACATACAAAATCATCTAACTGAAAGATGAAGTCCTTAGTGACACTGAACAGTTTTTTTAAATGAAGATAAGCAAATGAAAGATAAGAAATAACATGAAAATTAAGCCAGATGAGATAAATATGAAATTAAAAAATAAAAGATCCTTTGGGAATCTAGCATGTACAGTGACGTACATTAGGGTTTTCAAAGCCTCACACTAAAATCTGTATGGATGCTATTTATTAGAAGCCTCTGAACCCACAGAGACCTGGCCTTTTTTCTTTTTCTTTTTTTCTTTTCTGATAAATGAATGAATCTGAGCATAGCTTTATGCTACTTGATTCATTTCGCTCCCTCTGGCATGTAAGAAGTGCTTCAGCGAATTGAACCATGGGTTGTATGTCTCAGACAATATCCTAGAACGGCTAACTTCAGACCACAGTGCTCTAACAGGCACTCCTCAGTGGAATCTGTGTGCTGCAGGGCTGTGGTCATGGATTCCTCCAGAGACGAGGGCTGAAGATGCCCTCACAGCAGTAAGGGGAGCCAGATAACATAAAACTTCCATGTAGTAACTTGAGATAAAAAATATTTTGACAAAAAAAAAAACACACCCCAAAACAAATGCAAACAATTTAAAAAATAATGAAAACAATACTTCCCCTGATTGAATATAGTTCAGTAAATATGCTATTTATTAATATATATTTTAATGTACATATTAGATTTTAAAATAATGATTCAAAATGTATAGTCTTATACGCTACATGACTTATACCTAGATTGATAAGACTGGATACCAATTTCTTTCCCAGGATATAATATAATGCTAAGCACCCCTCCCTAATTACCTCTTAATTAACTGTCATTTTCAACTGAGATGTGATCTTTCCCTAGCACTGTCCTCATCCTAATAATTATCTATGCCCAATGCAGTGGCAGCTGTTACATTAAACAGATGGCTACACAGTCACATGGAGCTTTTGGAGTTAAAAAAAATCACATTTTAATTGGGGACTTAAGATGTGACTGCTGTTGGCACGACGTAAATGAGTCTTTCCTTATATGTGTGTGTAATTCTTACCACCACACCAACAAACTATCCCAGTTTTTGCTCTAAACAATGTTAGCGTCCTCTGGACTTGTATTGTACATGTGAGATGCTTTAGGATTTTTAAAATTATAAAAATGTACAAAGAAATAAAAAAATGTAAGATTCTGTTCGTGGGTTAATTTATTAATGTCTCTAGGCTCTAATGTTGAAGTATAGCTTAATCACGTATTAGACAAGGCCAGATTGAGAGCAATAGTGACACCCACCCAAGATTATAAGTAGAATGAGCTCCTTCAAAATAATTAAAGCAAATTATCCACTAGTCAGAGTTTAGGGAGGGCCGAAATAAAGACTGTTTCTTCTAATCTTGATATCTTATAAAAATATGTAATTTAAGAATTCTGTAGCCTGGATGATATGCATACCCTATCTCCCCTAAATGGTATCTCTACACCTAAATGCATAACTGTTACAGGCTGCACAGAATGTTCCAGCTCCTAAGGGACCTTTGGTTAACTAGGTAGCGGCATTCGTAGACATCAGTGGAATAACCTAACAGTTCAGCAACGAAGTCAGATGGACGTGGCTATTACTCTGTAATCAACTAATTGCAATCTGTCTGACCAATTTGCTATTTAATCTCTGAGCTTCACTCATCTTGCCAAGTATCATTATCTCCCTTTTGAGAAATGGCAAAACTGAGGTTCATTCGGTAAGTTCTGAATAGAAAAAATCATCTCTATGTCATGGAGCAGTTGTTAGCATCACTTCCATGAAGTAGTGTACACAAAAATCACTGATAGCCTCACTTACTTATTCAACAAGCATATTTAATAAGTACGTCCTACATGTCAGGAGCTATGCCAAGTACAAAGACATGGAGGCAAACACAGCTGTCTCTGCCATCATAGACTTTACTGTACAAGCTAACATGGTGCCTAGCACACATCCAACCAAGTATGTGTAGTATAGACTCTCAACCTTTTACTGGCAATCTTGAAATCCGAATATTGTACAAAGATTTTTTAAAACTTGGGGCAAACTCAATTGGCATAAAAATGACATGAGAATACCTACAATCCTTCTTTTTCCTACTTTCTGGGCATAGTCATATGTTTTGTGGCAGAAATAATAAATGTATATATGGGATGTTTTCCCAGATTCCTGCTGTTATGCAATAATCAGAATCTATACACTATCATGTTTCCAAAATCTGAAAAGTTCTGAATTCGGAACCTGAGATGATCCAATATTTCAGGTAAGGATGGTGAATGTGGGCTAAAATAGCAGGTCAACTGTCCTGACCTCATCCTGTATAGTTTTGGTGGAAATGGTAAGCAAAGTGTCTCATTGGCCTGACCCTGGCCACATGATTTAGGATTAGACAATCATGGAGCTCATCACTTTATTCCCAGTGACTGACCCAAGAGATGGACTTAGGATCCAAAAAGGGCCAATCCAAGTCCTTTCATGGGAACCAGGACCTGAAGCTGGGAGACTGCTCTTAGATTGTGGGTTTTAAGAACAGAGGTTAACATTACAAACTTTTGAACAATAATAGATACAGAGGCAGAGCTGCCTCAAACTGATTGTCAAACTGCAGTGGGAAGGCCAGAGAGGGTTGGGGGGCAGAAGGGAGGGGAGTAAGAGATCAACCAAAGGACTTGTATGCATCCATATAAGCATAACTAATGGACATAAGACACTGGGGGGTAAGGGAGGGCAGGGATTGTCAAGGGCAGGGGGTGGGGGAAGGACACATATGTAATACCCTTTGTAATACTTATTATAATATTTTTATTAAAAAAGAATAAAAAGAAAAAAAAAGAAAAAAAAAAGAACAGAGGTTAAGAGCTGCTAATGCAACATTTCCCAGCAGGTAGCAAGGACCACCTGAGAAGTCAAGCAGTGCACAAAGAAGCATAGATAAGAAATGGGGGAGCATCACACCTCTGGCATTTGAGCACTTGGACCCAGCTGTATGTGAACCATTGGACTTTCTCCAGTTTCTCTAGAAAATTCTCTTGACTAATTCAAAGGAGCTTGAAAACGTGTTTGTAACAAACATGCTAATTAATCTTCATTGAGGGTTTGATTATACATATTTTTCTATGAAGTGATGCTCTATGCTTTGGCCTTAATTTTAAAACATTATTGACCATTAATAATGATCTTTCACAAATGCATGGGGAATAACAGTTGGTACCTACATATACTTATATACTTATACTAGAGGCCCAGTGCACAAATTCGTGCACAGGTGGGGTCCCTGAGTCTGGACAGCAATCGGGACTCATCGAGGCCAGACCAGCTGGGGGGAGGGACTGCAGGAGGTTGGCTGGCCAGGGGGAGGGGCTACAGGAGGTTGGATGGACGGCCCCGCCCCCAATCGAGGCCCATTGGGGCTGGGCCAGCTGTGGGGAGAGGCCGCAGGAAGTTGGCTGAGTGAGTGCACTGACCACCATGGGGCAGCTCCTGCATTGAGCGTCTGCCCTCTGGTGGTCAGTGCGCATCATAGTGACTGGTTGACTGGTCATTCCTGTCATTCTGGTCGTTCGGTCATAACGGTCGCTTAGGCTTTTATATATATAGATAGTGTTAGAGTTGATACTTAGAAGTCCAGTTTAGTTAATGTCATATGAAAATACCTCTGATCAAAATAAGATAAATTATCAACCAAAATGATATTTTCACTTTTAACTAAGTGACCACGTATCTAAATCTCCACGAGGAAGCATCTTTTAATTCTGAAAAAGTGACTATATACACTTATGATTATTGTGGATCACAGCATCTTCCCCCTAATAGTTTACATTTGAAACCTAAAACTATACAAATATCTATTTTACATTTAATGTCACTACCTAGTCACAACAATTGACAAGTAGATGAAAATATGTTTAAAATAGTGTTTCAAGAATTAAAAAGAGTAAAAATTAAATGTTATAAAAATTAAATGTTATATAATTGTCTTGTTTAGTGGAAAAATCTCCCTAAAGATTTAAAATATATTTGGCTAGATTTTCAGTCAGTGGTAGCTTTTAAATTCAAATGCCAATTGCAGAATACTGTGAAACATAGTACACAATAAAAATTTGCTTATCTCCCAACTAATTTCTACCACAAAGTAACACATTAGTAAATATCCATTCACTCACTCATCTTTCATTCCATCATTTTAATTCAATTGAATTGAACATGTATTGAGCAGC